AGACACAACCCCCTCTCTGCACCGACGCACAGTCAGGCCAGCGTGGACGACCCTCGTGGGGCGGTCAGGTCAGCATGGATGACCCTCCAGGGGCGGTCAGGCCAGTGTGGACAACCCTCATGGGGCAGCCAGGCCAGCGTGGACGACCCTCGTGGGGCGGCCAGGCCAGCGTGGACGACCCTCGTGGGGCGGCCAGGCCAGCGTGGACGACCCTCGTGGGACGGTCAGGCCAGCGTGGATGACCCTCCAGCCTGCAGTCAGGCCAGCGTGGACGACCCTCATGGGGCAGCCAGGCCAGCGTGGACGACCCTCGTGGGGCGGCCAGGCCAGCGTGGATGACCCTCCAGCCTGCAGTCAGGCCAGCGTGGACAACCCTCGTGGGGCGGTCAGGCCAGCGTGGACGACCCTCGTGGGACGGTCAGGCCAGCGTGGACGACCCTCATGGGGCAGCCAGGCCAGCGTGGACGACCCTCGTGGGGCAGCCAGGCCAGCGTGGACGACCCTCGTGGGGCGGCCAGGCCAGCGTGGACGACCCTCGTGGGGCGGTCAGGCCAGCGTGGACGACTCTCGTGGGGCGGTCAGGCTAGCGTGGACGACTCTCGTGGGGCGGTCAGGTCAGCATGGATGACCCTCCAGCCTGCAATCAGGCCAGTGTGGACGACCCTCCGGGGTCAGTGACGCCCATGGGGGCTAACCCGAGAGTAGGCCGATGCTGTCTGGCTTGGGGGCCTGTGCCCTGTGGTTTCCCATGGTCCTCATGCATCTGCCACCCCAGCGATGCTCATGGGGGAGACTGGCTCCAGCTCCTGGAAGTGTCTGCTTCACCTGCTCCCTCTCTTCTCTGCGGGCTTAGGACAGCCCTCCCTGCAGGGCTCTCACGGTCAGGGTTTTCCTGCCCTCCTCCTGGGGAGGAGGGTGCTACTCTCCCCCTGTGACACCCCGAACCTCCACACAGACCCCAGGAGGTGGCTGGCTCCTGCACCAGCCCAGCTGAGCCTGTCGGGGACCCCACTTCTCCTGCAGAGGCTCCCCTCCCTCCCAGGTCACCGCGGAGTCCACAGGCCCCAGGAAGGGAGGGGCAGAGTCTGTGGGGACAGGGGGTTGTAGGCTCACTCACCCAGCAGGTTGGGGGTGGTCCCGGCTCCCCCAAGAGAGGACGGTGAAGCATAGGTATGCTCGGCCCCCAAAGGATGATCAACTCCCAGGGACAGAGAGCTGTTGGGGGGGTAAGCTCAGATCAGACACTTGTGGATCATTAAGCTCGATCAATGCTTCCACGGAAAGCAGGTGTGGGTTCCCTTGGCCGCACACCCCTCCATGGCTCCCAGGGCCAGGCCAAGAGCTGTACTGGGGGGTAAGCTCAGACCAGACATTTGTGGGTCATTAACCTTGATCAGCACTTCCATGGGAAGCAGGTGGGGGCTCCTGTGGCCAGCACGCCCCCCACCACCACAGCTCCCAGGGCCGGGCCAGGAGGCAGTGCTCTGGCTGACCATCCACAGTAGAGCCATGATCAGTGCTTTCGTGGAAAGCAGGTGGGCCTCCTGTGGCTGCCCCCCACCACCACAGCTCCCAGGGCCGGGCCAGGAGGCGGCGCCCAGCAAGCCATACATGGTGGAGCAGCCCTATCTCTTGGGAAGCTCCCTGTCCCGCTCCTCCTTCCTGCCCACAGACACATCTACTCTGCATCCTGCGGCAGATCTGGGCTCAGCGGGAGGACCTGGGTGGAGGCTGTCAGAAGACAGTCCAGCGCCCGCACCCCCAGGGGAAACGATGGTGGCCCCCTTGAGCCTCGAGGGGCAAAGGTCGCCTCGTCTGCTCTGCTATCCGGGCTGTGGAGTTTCTGCCCTCCGCCTCGTCTGCATGGGGGCCGAATGTCCAGCCGGACCCCAGGCCTCGGCCACTGAGTCTCACCCACCAGGCCTGAGGGGGCTTTGTTCTCGTCCAGTGAGCAACAGGGCGGAGGAGAAGCTCGCTTTTGTGACATCACCGCAAGGACGTGGGTTCCCTGAGGCTGGAGCAGGAGACAGCCCCTCCCCCAACCCAAAACAGGCAGACAGCATCGAGAATGGTTGCCTCCAGGCAGCCTCTGCAGCGACGCCAGGTGTGCACGAGGATGCACGTGTGTGCCTATGGATATGCTTGTGTTCATGCCCATTGCAATCCAGGAACAAAGCAAAACTGCCTTTACAATATACTGCTTCCGGAGAAGTATCTCACATACTGGAAATTTATTAATATGGTTGCTGTGTTCTGAGAAGAAATCACTTCACATTTATCTGGATTCATTTAATAATTGATACGAGAGGCTCTCTTAACGTATAGCACTTGCAGTGTGAGGATAATGGAGGCCATTACTGAAGGCCAGCCTGGTCACCGGGGTGCTGTGGACACAGTCCTCTCCCTGGGGAGCTGGGTCTCTGGGGTGCTGTGCACACAGTTCTCTCCCTGGGGAGCTGGGTCTCTGGGGTGCTGTGGACTCAGTGCTCTCCCTGGGATGTCAGGTCACTGGGGTGCTATGGACTCAGTGCTCTCCCTGGGGAGTCAGGTCACTGGGGTGCTGTGGACACAGTGCTCTCCCTGGGGAGTCAGGTCTCTGGGGTGCTGTGGACACAGTGCTCTCCCTGGGGAGTCAGGTCACTGGGGTGCTATGGACAGAGTCCTCTCCCTGGGGAGTCAGGTCACTGAGGTGCTGTGGACACAGTGCTCTCCCTGGCAAGGAAACAAAACCCTCCAACCAGGCTCTGGGCACAGGGCTTCCAAGCAGCCATAGGCAGCAGCGTGTCTTGTAGCAGGATTAGCAAGGCTGTGAGTAATAGCGGCTATAAACGAGCTTGCCAAGACAAACACTGTGAGGATTATCGGACTTTTGCTTGAGGGCAAAGCCTGATTACCAGATGGGGCCAGGAGGAAACGGGCCTACCCACCCACCCAGCTCTCCCACGGCTCTCTCAGCTCACCATCCACCTACAGTGGCCTTAACCCTGCAGCGGACTGCTCACCTCCCCTGGGACAAGGTCACTGTCTCCAGGCAGAGCATAGCCTGAGTGCACCCTCGCTCCCTGGGGGCATCCCCAGCTAACCAGAAGGGGAGCCAGCCACCTGCATTCTCTCCAGGCTGACCAGGACCAAGCTTGGCCTCCTCGACGTGTCCACAGGCCGGGGCTTCAACAGCAGGCCCACCCCACCCACCGTCCAAGTGCTGGGCGCCGAGGCCAGGGTGCTAGCCGGGCACTTGCTGCCGGCAAGGCCCCTCACTGGCCTGCAGGCCCGTGTGCCGGGGGAGACGAGCCCAGTGCAGCCATGTGCTGAGACCCCTCAGGGCCCACCTGGTTAAGCCATGAGCTCCTGGCCGTGTGGTCCTGGCCCAGACCTGTGGTCACCGGGTCACTGGTGCAGTCGCTTAAGTCCAGTGGGCATCCTGCCCCCTCACTGGGCAGCTCCCTTCCTCCCGTCCAAGGGGCTGCCGCCAGCTCCCAGGTCTGCAAGCACAGTGGAGCATTCAAGGGGCCTTTATTTTGTTCAGAGTAGAAGACAAAGCCCAAGAGGATCAGAGGAGGCCTGGAGCGGGAGTCGAGAACCTCCCCAGTCCTGCAGCCCCCACTGCCCTCGCCCACCCAACTGCACAAACCGGGCCTAATTCCAAAGAACACCGGAGTCCCGGTGCCACAGGCACCCCAGGGGAACGCGGTGCCGCCACGGCTGGAGGACACAGGGCAGGCCGGGGCACCCGCCCCAGGGTCGGCACAATGGCCCGGTTGCTCACTCACTCACTCAGGGCCTTCCAGAGAGTGTTTGGGAAAACACCTGTGTGGCTTGGGGGCTGCCTCTGTTGGGGTAGTTGGCATTTTGCACAAGCTCTTCAGCTGCCTTTCCGCATCTCACACAGGCTGCTTTTGGAATAAAATTCCAAAATTACAGCACAGGCAAACTCCGGAAACAAGGAGGGCATCCATTCGGACACTACCATCTTCTTTCCTGCGCCATAAAATCTCAACCCCAATAACAACTAAGATCCGCCACCTGCAGAGCTGCTGGCTCATCTCACCATCCATCCTCATTATGGGCCATCCGTCCTCACTACTAACCATCCATCCTCACTTCTAACCATCCGCACTCACTACTGACCACCCGACCTCACTACTGACCACCCATCCTCACTATGGGCCATCCGACCTCACTACAGGCCACCCGTCCTCACTACTGACCACCCGTCCTCACTACGGGCCACCCGACCTCACTACGGGCCACCCGACCTCACTACGGGCCACCCGTCCTCACTACTGACCACCCGTCTTCACTACGGGCCACCCGACCTCACTACTGACCACCCGTCCTCACTACTGACCACCTGCCCTCACTATGAGCCACCCGACCTCACTACGGGCCACCCAACCTCACTACGGGCCACCCATCATCACTACGGGCCACCCAACCACACTACGGGCCACCTGACCTCACTACGGGCCATCCGACCTCACTACGGGCCACCCAATCTCACTATGGGCCACCCGTCCTCACTACTGACCACCCGTCCTCACTACGGGCCACCCGACCTCACTACGGGCCACCCGACCTCACTACGGGCCACCCATCATCACTACGGGCCACCCAACCACACTACGGGCCACCCGTCCTCACTACTGACCACCCGACCTCACTACGGGCCACCCGACCTCACTACGGGCCACCCATCATCACTACGGGCCACCCAACCACACTACGGGCCACCCGTCCTCACTACTGACCACCCGTCCTCACTATGGGCCACCCGACCTCACTACGGGCCACCCGACCTCACTACGGGCCACCCATCATCACTACGGGCCACCCAACCTCACTATGGGCCACCCGACCTCACTACGGGCCACCCGACCTCACTACTGACCACCCAACCTCACTACGGGCCACCCGACCTCACTACTGACCACCCGACCTCACTACGGGCCACCCCACCCCCTGGTTCCTCGTGCGGGCCCTCAGATGTGTGCTCCTCTCAGTCACCATCGCCCCCTATCACTGTCCATCCCCGAGCTCATCTCCGAGATCAGCGGCACCAACCTCCGGGTGCCCAGTCCCCCCCGGCCATCCTCAGCTCCCTCCTCGGGCAGACACTCTGGTAGGAGAGGATGGAACTGGACGAGGGCAGAGCAGGGGACTCTGGGCAGAGATGGGGGCTCACAGGGCTGAGCGCAAAGAAAGAAGCAGCAGAGAGAACACGGGCGGGGTCTGTGCCAGTACCTGCCGAAGGGGCAGCTCCCCATGCCCCGGGCAGAGCTGGCCTCCCCCCGCCCTGCTCGGCCCCCTCTCCCTTCTGAACTCTTCACTGCAGGAGGTGTGAACAGGCATGGGGGAGGGTGCCTTCCTCCCCTGCAGAGACATTGCTGGCAGGTCCACTCACGACCGCATCCCACCAGGCGGTCGCCCGATCCTGAAGGTCACTCGCAGAGGAGGGTTCAGTAATCCGGGTTTGCAGGCAGCACTGAGGAGGCACGTGGGAGCCTGGGTCTTTCCAGTGCAGGTCGCTGCTGCTGGCTGTCACGAATAAACACTGTCACCGTCACAGAGATAGCCCAGTAGCGGTACTCATCACATCCCAGGCGCCACTAGCCAGAGAGCGAGTTATGGGGGCAGGGGGCGCCGGGCACTTGGCCATGCCTGGGACCACAGGGATGGGCCCGGCATGTTTGGGACACTGCCCTGATGCCTGTAGCTGCAGCCTCCCCCCCAGTCCGCTGCCGTGAGGGGCCGGGGGGCTGGTGCCATGATGAGCGGGGGTGGACTCCTCCACAGATGCCCTGGAACAGGGACCCACTGCCCTCAGTGCTGATGGCGGACGCGGCTCCCACCCCACGACCAGCCTGGGGCTGCCCTCACTGCCCAGCCGCACCTCTTGTCACTTCCTAAGGATGCGTCTTGGAAGCTGGCATCCTCAGTCCCCCCGACAGGCAAGAGTAAAGGAAACTGAGCACGAAGCAGACGGAGGCTAAACGCCCCTGGGAACTGCGCCCTCGCCCCACCAGTGTCCACACCCCCGGATGGGGCACTCACCTCTGACTTGTGTGCGGCCGGTACGAGCCGGCAGGAAGGATGAGGGTGACTGCCTGCTATGTCACACTGGCCCACCATGGAATGTGGCCACAGAGATGGGTGCTCGGTTCTCTCATCGTGTTGCATAAGCCCTGATGTCTGTCTTGCTAAGGCGCTCTCTCCTGGGCTGGTTTTGAGGAGGAAGCCAAGACCAGAAGGCCCAAGGGCCAGGAGCGGAAGGCAGCCGCGGGCCAAAACCAGCCAGGGTCTGCGTCCTGCCGAAGCTCCACGAGCTACCAGGAGAGGGCCCGGGTCTGGCTGGCCCCGGAGGTAGTCTGTGGGTGACCCAGCGGGCCCTTGCAGATCCTTGGGCAGCGAGCCTGGGAGATAGCGTTGTGGGTGCAGGAAGCGCTCATGTGGCCACAGATGGCAGCACCCATGTAAGGCAAGCTGCCACAGGCCGGCACTCATACCAGAAATGCCTGCTCTCGCCGCGGGTGGCTGCGGGTGGCCCCATGTTCCTTTCCTCGGCCTCCCAGAACTGCGGCACCTACTCTGGTTTTCTGATGCCTTCGGTCACTGAGAACCAGACAGTCAGAGACACTGCTCTGTGGATGCACACCCAGGCTCTGCTTCCACGAGGGCTGACATGAGACCAGGGCCCTAGAACCAAATCTGCCCAGGCGAGGATGACAACAGGTACGGGAAGCAGAGGGTCTAAAGACCCCCCGGCAGGGACAGGCCTGCTGACCGTTTCTGAGCATCTGACACGTCACTCGAATCCTGGGCACTTTGCCACACATATCAGGGAGTTTCAAAAGTGTTTGACTGTCACTGGACCAAAGAAAGGACTTTCCAAACAGTATTTTGAAAGATGCTCATTTGAATGTTTAACTTTATAAATGCTTATTTAAGATAATCTCCTTACCTTAGTCACTTCAGCTGAACAATGACCTATGAAACAACTACAGCATGCCTGGAATCGGGCCTCTGTCTGGGGTTAGGAGAAGGCTAAGAGGAGCTACATTCCTATTCAGAGAGCAAGTTCTAGGGCAGAGGTGTGTGGGGGTGTGAATGTGTGTGCGAACCTGTTGGTGTGTGCATGTGTTTCCTGGGTGAGTATGCACTGGAGTGTGAGTGTGTGCAGGCAGGACCAGGTGGCGTGGGCCGGGGGACGAGGTGCCGACTGGCATATGTTGCTGCGTCAGGTTCTGCGAGGCTGCTGGGAGAGGGTCGTGTAGACACAGGTGGGCAGGAGAACGATCAGTGGAGAATAATTCCAGTGTCTGGAGGGCAGTGATCGCAAGGGGCTGAGTGCCCTGCTGTCTTCCCAGCAAATGTCAGATGGCGGCGGCTGTAGGGTGCTGGGAGCAGGACTTGGTGTGGGGGCCAGGCAGGCATAAGGCAGCAGGTCCTACACAGCGTCTCAGAGCTCAGTCTGGACTCGGGCTTTGCCTCACATTTCAGGCTCTTGGTCAGACAGATGGGACCCACAGGCGGTCTCTGCAGAGTGAGACAGGATGGTGGAGGTTAGACACATCCAGCTCATTTGCTATGGAAGCACAAGGCTTATCCTTGACACCTCACATGGGGAAATTAGAAACCAGGTTCAGACCTGTCCCCTCTCTCCTGTAAGGGGCTTCCACATAGCAGCTGGCATCTAGAGGGCCCCTTGGTGGTCCCTGCCAGGGGATTGGGTTGCAGAACCAGCAGCTAAAACCCAGTTGCTGAAATAGGAGAGCTCTGGATGTGCACCCCAGCTCTGCTATGGGGTGACTTTTCTCTCTTCTTTCTCATGTGTAAAATTAAAATCTGCCTCCAAGGAGTAGGAAGTTTGATGAGTAATAGGCATCACCATGTTACTACAGAGCCAGGCTCACCATTCCCCAAGGGTGGCTGTCACCAGAACCGTCCCCGCATCTTTTCCAGAACCTCAGTACCACCCCAGTCACTTCCACATTGGGCAATTCAGGCTCTGATTCTGAGCTGAATCAGAGTTGGGCAGGCATGAGCTGGGGAGGGGCAGCGCTCACAGGAGCCACTAAGAGGCACAATGGGCGCTCCAGGAGCTCAGGGCTTGAGAATCCCTCCACCGCAGGGAGCCACATGAGCTGGGGGCCAGGTGGAGAGCTTGTGGGTGCTGAGGTCAGACCAGGCTGCCCCCCCAGCCCAGCTCCCTCACCTCAGAGCTGAGTGATCAGGCTGGCAAAGTGCCTGACTTCCTTGATTCAGCCCCTCAAAGCTCATATGTGACAGCAGCACTTGGGAGAGACTGTATCACACGGGGCAACTTCGCTTCAGTTCCACTCCTCACCACTATGCTTACTTGTGGGTGGGCTTATCTGAAGTCGAGTTTCACCGCTGAAATGGAACCTATAAACACGATCTATGCCATAGGGTTACAGGAGGATTTGAGGAGATAGTTTCTGTAATGTGTTTAACAAAGAACCTAACGTAAATGTTCAAAATGTTGGTGATGGTGGTGACGGTGATGATGTTGATGATGGTGGTGTTGGTGGTGGTGATGATGATGGTGCTAGTGATGGTGGTGATGATGGTGATGATGGTGGTGATGATGGTGAAGATGGTGGTGATGGTGATGATTGTGGTAGTGATGGTGGTGATGATGGTGATGATGGTGGTAGTGATGGTGGTGATGATGGTGAAGATGGTGGTGATGGTGATGTGATTATGGTGATGATGATGGGGATGGTGATGGTGGTGGTGATGATGGTGGTGTTGGTGGTGGTGATGATGATGGTGGTAGTGATGATGGTGATGGTGGTGATAGTGATGATAGCAGTGATGGTGATGGTGGTGGTGGTGATGATGGCAGTGATGGTGATGGTGACGGTAGTGATGGTGATGATGATGGTGATGATGGTGGTGATGATGATGGTGGTGTGATGGTGGTGGTGATGATGATGGTGGTAGTGATGGTGGTGATGATGGTGATGATGGCGGTGATGGTGGTGGTGGTGGTGGTGACGGTGATGGTGGTGATGAATGTGGTGATGGTGATGGTGGTGATAGTGATGATGGTGGTGATGGTGGTGGTGATGGTGATGGTGGTGATGATGGTGATGGTGGTGATAGTGATGGTGGTGGTGATGGTGATGATGGTGGTGGTGATGATGATGGTGGTAGTGATGGTGGTGATGATGGTGGTGATGGTGATGGTGGTGATAGTGATGGTGGTGGTGACGGTGATGGTGGTGATGACTGTGGTGATGGTGATGGTGGTGATAGTGATGATGGTGGTGATGGTGGTGGTGATGGTGATGGTGGTGATGATGGTGATGGTGGTGATAGTGATGGTGGTGGTGATGGTGATGGTGGTGATGATGGTGATGATGGTGGTGGTGATGATGATGGTGGTAGTGATGGTGGTGATGATGGTGGTGATGGTGATGGTGATGGTGGTGGTGATGGTGATGGTGGTGACAGTGATGATGGTGATGATGGTGGTGGCGATGATGATGGTGGTAGTGATGGTGGTGATGATGGTGATGACTGTGGTGATGGTGATGGTGGTGATAGTGATGATAGCAGTGATAGTGATGATGGTGATGGTGGTGATGATGGTGATGATGGTGGTGATGGTGATGGTGGTGACAGTGATGATGGTGGTGGTGGTGGTGACGGTGATGATGATGATGGTGGTAGTGATGGTGGTGATGATGGTGACGACTGTGGTGATGGTGATGGTGGTGATAGTGATGATAGCAGTGATGGTGATGATGGTGATGGTGGTGATGGTGATGATGGCAGTGATGGTGATGGTGGTGGTGGTGATGATGATGGTGGTAGTGATGGTGATGATGATGGTGATGATTGTGGTGATGGTGATGATGGCGGTGATGGTGATGGTGGTGGTGGTGGTGATGATGATGGTGGTAGTGATGGTGGTGATGATGGTGATGATGGTGGTGGTTATGATGACAATGTATAATTTTAACTTCTGTCCCCTAGCCTGCTCCTTTCATATGTGTTCTCTTTGGCTCCTCTATGAGTTCCAGCACCGCTTGCTAGAGGTCTTCTGGGACCCTCATTTGGACATCCCTCTAGTGTTCTGTGTGCCACGTAAAGCTGTGTTCACCGAGTTATGTGTGTTTGTTCATCCCAAGCTAGTCTATGCCTATTGGAACTATGTAAGTTAACCATTACGTGTCAGACACTTGCTAAGTTGCTTCAGTCATGTCTGACTCTTTGCAACCCAATGGACTGTAGCCCATCAGGCTCCTCTGTACATAGGATTTTCCAGGCAAGAATACTGGAGGGGCTTGCCATGCCCTTCTCCAGGGTTTCTTCCTGATTCAGAGATTGAACCCTGGTCTCTTTTGTCTCCTCTATTAGAAGGTGGGTTCTTTACCACCTGCACCACCTTTGGAGGCATTAAAGATTTTTTTCAATGAAAACAAATTATACAAAAGATTGCTTTACATATTAATGTTAAAAGAAAAAAAGAATTGTTTCTGTGAAAGCTAATAGGAATAACCCTTTAAAAGTGAGTATGGAAAAAAAAATTGCCAAGTCAGATGTGGACGAGACTCCACAGGCCAGGAGTTCCCAGCTCTGGTGGTCTCTGGAGGGGCCACGTCCCCCTCAGTGAAGGTGACGCCGGGTCCCACCCTGTGGCTGAGGTGGTTTCTGCATGAAAGAGACTTGGGGCTCCAATAACACCAGGGCTGACCCTCCTTTGAAAAGTCTGGAAATCAGCATTTTGTTTTCGGAAAAATTAAAACACACACCTGATGTGTGTCAGAGTTTCCTTAAACCTTAAACTGATTTTTTCAACTAAGACGACACCTCTCACCCCGTTGGACAAACGGCCTTCTCCCAGGTTAACTGAGTAGAATCAAGAGGAGGCATTGCTGCAGGTGGCAGGACGTCGCCAGGACCGCTCCTGAGGCACAGCCGGCTGGCCAGTGACGTGGTCGCCGGAGCAGAACCGCCACAGGGCGAGTCATTTCCTGACCCCTGACCGTGGGGCGGACGGCGAGCCTGGGAACACCTCCAGCCTTGCTTCCTCCCCACCGAGTCTCTGCAAGTGTCTTCCTCCTCCTTCCCAGGCACCTTCCTGGGAACGGCCGCTGGAGAGGATCCGCCGCCCAGCTCGTGACCTCTGGTGACAGATTAAACAGACTCGGAGGAACGAGCCGGAAGCAAACTTCCTGGGCCCGGCCCAGCCTCCCACACCTCCCTCCTCCTGCACCCAGCGCTCAGCACGCCCCTGTCCATGAGGGGCCCAGGGGGACACACAGCGCTGCTCCCCGCGAGGCCCCAGGCTCCACGCCGCCCTCAGACCTGCCTCTGCCCTGTGGGACACCCCCAGGAGCTGGGCCCCCTCAGCCTTGTCCCCATCGGGCCCTCCCCCGAGGGACACAGGGCTCCAGCCACTGAGCGCGACTCCCGCGGGCCACAGCTCAGCCACACCGTCCCATGTGCACCATCACCAGCTTGGAAGACCACCGAGGCCGCGTTCTGTGAAAACCACCCCACACCTCCCTTCCTGTGGTAATTCTCACACGTGACCTCAGAGAGACGCGGCCTCGGGGCCCCAGGACCAGATAGACAGCGGGTCTGGGGCTGGAGTGCAGCTCCAGCTTCAGGCATCTCTGTAACCATCAGCAACTGAAGCAAGAGCAGAGGAAAGCCCGTCTTTCATTTGTGCTCATGTATTTGCACCTAGCGTATTAGTTTAACTGTACAGAGTAACGACTGCGTGTACTGTGGAGTGGTCACCGCAGTCCGTCTCCCAGTGTAAGCCCCCCGTCTCTAAGCTCTGGTGAAGCCCCAGCATTCTCGGGGTCCGAGGCCCCCAGGTTCCCGTGGGCTGAGTCAGGCAGGACCCCAGCTCCTCTGAGGAGTCACCCCCCGGACTTGGGTTGTCCCGCCTGTACTGGCCACCCTGCCCCCGGGGGCCTTTCTGGTCAGGCAGGGTGGTCTGTCCCCCTGCTCTCTACGCTGAGGGAGCATTCCCAGGAGGGGGAGTGGTCCACGGGGCTATAAATTTGATGTTGCAACAGAAAGTCCGAGCTGGAGCCCGTGACCCATGAAATTAGAGGCTCTTGTCTGAGAGCCCGCTGCCCTGACTCGGCGCTGAGACGGCTCTTCCCAGGGCCTGAGGAGACACAGCCACAAACGCCGGGCTTTTCCCTTTGGTTTTCTGGCCAGACGCTCCCCCACCCCCCTCCCTGCTTGTCTCGGTGTGACTGACGGCATCGGGTCCCTGGTGTCCATCTCTGAAGTCCAGGCCCATGGCAGGTCACATGTGCCCTGAACATGCATCCATGAAACCCCAGAATCTGCAGGCAACGTAGAGCTCCCGTGATGGGAATGGCTCCTCGCCCCCAGTGAGGTGACCCCAGGCACACCTGATGAGACGCCACCCTCACCCAGCTGCCCCAAGGGACGCGCACAGTGGGCGATGCTCACATGCAGAGCTCACAGGTGCGGTGCCTGCCCGGCAGCCACTTAGTATGCCAGATTGTCAACTTCCCCCTACCTGCCGTGTTCAGGAAACAGCACTGAATTGATTCTGGTGTGAGTGTTTCTTATTTCCCTTTTTGTGAGAAGCTTGTATTTTTGTTTGTGTCATTTGCCTATGCACAAAATTTGTCTATTTTTTTTCTTTTTCTTAAATTGAAGTATAGTTGATTTACAATAGCACATTAGTTTCAAGTGTACAGCAAAGTAATTTAGATATACATACATGTATGTGTGTATATATGTCTTTTCAGTTTCTTTTCCATTGCAGGTTATCACAAGACACTGACGGCAGTTCCCTGTGCTATGCAGTGGGAGCTTGTTTATTTTACATGTGGTAGTGTGTGTGCCCACCAGATTCTTAATTTATCCCCTTTTCCCCTTTGGTGATCATAAGTTTGTGTTCTTTGTCTATTGAGTCTATCTTTTAATTCATATGTATCACTTTTTTTAGATTCCACATATAAGCCATATCATACAACATTTATCTTTCTCTGACTTACTTCACTTGGTATGACAATCTCTAGGCCCATCCATGTGGGTGCAAATGGCATTATTTTTATGGCTGAGTAGTATTCCATTTTATACTTCTTTTTATCCATTCATCTATCCATGGACAGTTAGGTTATTTCCACGTCTTAGCTTTTGAATTGACTTCCTTTTCAGCCAGGCAGGACCTCAGTACACAGCCCTCAGTGCAGGGATGTCTCCTTCTTAAAATACTGGGCAAATTTGTGTGCCAGAAAATCATGCAAAGGCCAGCTGATTCGAGGACATGAGGCAGCAAAGCATTGTCAATAACACTTGTTGTCATGCTCTGTGTATATGAGCATCCAAGTGATTGGTAGAGGTTTTCAGTGTTCATCGTATATATGTCTTTCTCTGGACCAGGTCAAAGTTTTTTGATGAAAGCTACCAATTCTGATAATAAAGCCAGAAACCTATAGCGGAAAAAATATGAAAACTTTATTCAACCCATGCAAGTTTATTTCCAGAAGGATCTAATTTCAGGTCTGTCCACATATTGTGACATTCCTGCTTGACCTTATGGGGAAATGGTTCCTTTTCGGGATCTATGTGTGATGAAAAATGTCAATGACTTTTTTTAAAGTATTTTGTTGGCATTGTTCTCATTCTGGTAGCTGGGGAATTCCAACATCGAGAACAAAATGTTTGCCCGTGTTTAATTACCAAAGCCAAACTTACAATTTAAAATCCCAAGTTAATTTTCTTAAGCCAGGAAATTATGTCATTCAGTCTAAACAAGAGGTACTCAGTTTGCCCTGCCTTCCGGCACTGCTGTGTGGCATGCTGGATAAGAAATCAGCTCTTAAGATGCTGAGCCTAGAATTTAACAGGAGGATGGAAACAGGACACACACTCAGAGACACCACCACACACCTGGCAAGTTGTGACTGACCTCGCGGAAATGGCAGGTGACGTTTGTGTGAAGGAGGAATCGCAATCCACTGCCTCCATGCCTCTAGCCCTTCCAAAGAAGAACCATCAAGACAGCAGGCGCTGAGCAGAACAAGAAGAACACGGCCTCGAGAGGACTCTAGGCTGAGGACGTATTCCCTGAACATGTATATTGTACAGACACACTCAACAGCTGTGAGACCCCAAGCACCAGACAGGAGAAACAGACCAAAACATCCTCAGAGGTTTGCTTCCTAAGCCAGACCAAATGTCCAGAGAGTTTTCCTTACAGAACACAGACCTACACGCACATGTCCACACACACCCAGGCCTCTCTCAGCCACGTGGCTCCCTCCCCTGCTCCCCATCGTCACAGGCACTCACACTCCATGTCTCAAGCCTCCTCCTTGCACATCTCCCTGGTGCTAACTCCACTTTCCTGCAGACCCTGGGGGCTCCAACTTGACAGCTTGTGGCGAGCATGTGGTCCCTACGTGGCTGTGGTCATGCCCGTGTCTCTGTCCCTGCCTCTAGCTGCAAGCCCGATTCAGCAGCTAGGGCTCCATCTGAGCCCACAGCACCGGGCTCAGTGCTTATTCCAACTAAATGTCCAATGAGCGAATGTGAGCGGCTGGGCCCTTGCTCTGCTACTTACTGGCCAAGTGACAAGGGGTGAGTGACCATCCAGGGTCAGACTCTGACCACAGAATTTTTTGGAATCTGTCCCGACCAGCCAGGTAGACTTCACCTCTCAGGTCGAGATAGTTTAGGCCACTCCCAGATTGGCTCCCCTCCTCGTAGCACTCTGTCTCCCCTAACGACTGAGCCCCACAGAATCATGTCTGCCTCATGGTGACGAGAAGATAAGACACATGCGTGAAGTTTCTTTATAAACTGCAAACCGCGACCACGTGCCAGCCGGTCCGCTGTTCACAGGTATAGAGCATCTGCTCCACAGAGTGACCACCCAGGGCCTGTGTATGCTGGCCGGCCCTGGGGCTCCAAGCACATGGGAACCCCAGGTTTGTCTGTCCTGGCACATCGTGGGGATACGGTGAGCACTGTGGCCACCACCAGCCGTTTCCCCTACCTGGTCCCCCAGCAGGACAACACTTGCTGGCCTGTGCAGAGAGGTGGGAATGCAGCCCTCCCCTTAGGCATGCGGGCACACACGTGTGCACACGCCTGTACCCTCTCCTGCTCCTTACTGGCCTGTTACCTCCTCTCATCAACTACTCAGCGTTTTCTCCAGCTTTGGAGTTTAAGATACCATGACTGGCTTGTTGCAGCTTGGAGAGCATGTTATGTTGGGGGCCTCCCCACGGAGCAGTTGTGAAACGTGGGCTGTGCCACAGAGTCAGGCACCAGCCACCTCATTCCGTGGCCGTTGCTAAGTCCTGGGTTTCACACTTTCATTTGTTTTCTGAGAATCTTTTCTTTCCTGTCCATTCGAAGGGTGGTGAGAAGGGGATGATTCTCATGGGCTAAGAGTCGGTTCCTATTATAATTTCAAGTGTCCACACCCTGGGCTTTGGAAAGCGATAATGAGCAGCGAACAGCCGCTGGTTTCTGGACGTCCTCCAGCCACTCAGGGTCTTGTTGTGATCCATGGGCCCCCTGGTGTAAGGCAGACCCATTCTCCCAGATTGCTATTATCTGCAGCCCTCGCTCTGGACAAGGCAGAGGCTTTATCTCGACTTGCAGAGGCTGACCTGGCTGACTCCTGCTGGAACAAACTGTGGTTACTTTCCAAACTCAGCATAAATACTCAGATGTGAGGCAAGGAAGGAACCTGTGTCCATGCCAGAATTTCATGATGGTCTGGGACCTACATGCCGGCACAGAAGGCCCTGGGTTGACCAGCAAACTCGCATCTGAAGAGGCTGACACCCTCTGCAAGCGGCTCACCTTCTGGGACTCGCTTGTGAGTCAGGGCGCTGGCGGGTTGCTCAGGCTGACGTCTGGGAGACGAGATTTAGCTGCAATTAACATTCGACCACAGAAAGAAAAAATGAAAAGGCCAGGAAGGAAGGAAAGGCCTCTGACTGAATTCCAGAATATCCACTTTCCGGACTGTCCACAGTCATGGATTGAGTTGAGCTCAAACCAAAGCTTTTCTGTTGATTAAATGCAAAATGTCTATTTTTTGGAGCCAACCCTGGATGTTTACATGAAAGGGTTTCCACTGATCCAGCTCTGCTCCTTATTATCTGGGCGCCCTCAGATGTGTCATTCAATCTCCCTGAACCAGGTTGCTGTGTGTAAACAGAGGGCAGACGTTCCTCACCTACTTAACTAGCAGCCTCTGCGGGCACCAGATGGCCTCACGCTCGGGCAGCGGCTCCTCCCAACTGGCTCACCGGGAATCGATCAGTGGAATCCTGCATGCCACGGGCGACAGATCAGCCATAAACCACGGCTCAGAGGTAAATGCTGAGCAGAGACACCTCCCACTGGTTAGCGTCTTTCCTTGAGCCCATTGGAAGAAAAAGGAATAAAACTGGCATTCTTAATTATCATCTGGGTTAAATAATCCTTAATTTTGTTAAGTGTCCAATGGTAGTTTTCAATACTAATCAGTTAATAATGTACAGTAAATGGAATTTAAAAAATTTACAACACCTAGAAAGACCTAATAAAACACGGAAGCAGCTTCCCTTCTCGCACAAGAAGCATTCACATAACTGCACTGAACCAGGGGTATGGCAGAGGCTGAAAGGTGCCCAGGAGCTCCTGCAAGGAGACAGGCCGTCTCCACACAAAGGCTGCTCTTCTCGAGGCTGAGAACATGCAAAGCGCCCTTCCCGGTGCCTGCCCCTCAGCCAGGTGGGAGAGAAGTGAGAGGCAGGGAGTGTCCGCACAGGAAGAGTGGACCAGGCTTGTCCTGTCTTGTGTTTGCTCCGAGATGAGTCAGGAGAAGCTTCCTGCGACATTTCAGGCTCGCCCCGCTGACGGCAAACCGTGCAGACGCACAAACACCCTTCCGCCTCCACCCCGCCACCCAAGGCTGGGTCCTCTCTGGGGCCCACAGCCCCCCATCCCAGCCCCACCACGAGGCGGGGCAGGGACAGGCTGGGCCAGCCCCTGGCAGGCCTCCTCTAGCTGTGTGTTTCTATTTCTCCCCACAGCAAAGTAACCTTGCCACTCTTTTCCTGGTTAGTGATTTTTTTAAAATGGGGCTTCCCTGATGCCTCAGCAGTAAAGAATTTACCTGCAATGCAGGAGACCTGGGTTTGATCCCTGGGTCAGGAAGATCCCCTGGAGAAGGAACCGGCAACCCACTCCAGCATTCTTGCCTGGAGAATCCCATGGACAGAGGAGCCTGGCAGGCTACAGACTATGGGGTTGCAAAAGAGTCAGACACGACTTAGTAACTAAACAACACTAGCAACAATTTAAAAAAAACTTTCGTATAAAAATTTACAAAACTGTAAGGTCTTAAAAAGAAGGAAATCACCAGAAGCCTGTAGTCCCGTGGTCACCACAGTTGACATGTCAGTGAACATCATCCAAGCCTCTGTGCACACACGCACACTTTCACACAAACGGAGAGTACCACACGTGACGTTCCCAACATAGCCAAAGTCTTGTTTAAAAAAGCCGGTTTTTGCCTTCTTTCCTTTCTCCCCCAGCCTCCCCACCCCCATGCCAGACTGCCATCATGAGCCTGGGGGTGCGTCCTGCACAGTGTCTCCTCACTCCAGCGAATCGCATGCAATTACACGTGTGCATGTGTATGTATGCAATTGCGAGTGTATCACTGTTGAAAAGATTGAATCACATTATATAACCTTACCTCGTCTTTATTCTTCCCATTTAAGAATGCGTTCCAAGTCAACCAGCACCGTCTAATGGTGGTCACGACAGCTGTAAAGACAGTCCGCGATGCAAGCAAGCCCCGGCACACCCGCTTGGATTCTCTCCCCTTGTGGGGCGAGTGCACTGCAGAGACCTGGGGTCTGCAACGCGTGTGCATCCTTACCAAGCGCTGCTGTCCTCCGTGTGGAACACAGCACATGGGGTCCTGGGTGGGGGTGACTGTCTGTTCCAGCAGGTGGTACCAGAATCCTTCCCCGGGTGGCCGTAACTATTCACATTCCTACCTCCTCCCAGCAGGGACTACCATTCTTTATTTGTAATTGACTCTGTGGATTGATATTTCACTGTTCCCTTAATCAGCATTTTCTGAGTTTCATCAGTGTTCCTCTGGACTTGCCTTTCTGTTAATCACCATTCAAATCTCTGTCCATTTCTCTTTCTATTGGGTTATCTTTAGCTAATCAGTTTGTTAAATCTCTCTACAGAGTATAGCTTATTAGATGTTAGCTTTTTGCTCTTGTAACTTTGCAAATATCTTCTCATGTTTGTCAACGGACTTTTCTTACGGTGTCTTCATCTCTTTACTGTAAGAAGTTTTCATCTGACCCTGAAACTCTCCCAACCCTGGGTGATATCACTGCTGGGGGGTCAGCTGACCCTCTGCATGGGTGTGGGCAGACCTGCTCCTGGGCAGGAACCTGTGAGTGAGGCGGTTTGTGAGATAAAAGGTGCCCAGAGCCCACAGACGCCTCAACCTTCCTGCTTGTCTCCCAGACCTGCCGCTGGGCCTTTGAGACGCTGAGAGACAACACGTCACCTGGAAGGTGCTCCTCCGGCCAGGGGTTCACATCCTGAGATCCGGCTTCAGCTCCTAGCTCTACAAGGGGAAGCCCCCATTTCCTCAGAACCCCAGTGCAGGTGGCCGCAAGTCACCGATCCTGGGTCCCACTTCTCTTTGTTAAATGAGATGAGTCTGATTACTAACCCTGAACTGTGCGTCATGTCCCCAGGCCATTCCCCAGAGCCCGGCCATGAATTTCCCGGTGCAGGTTACGCTGGGTACGCTGGTGTCTCGTGTGTCTCCCTCACTGGTCTTCACCCTCAGGAAGGAGGGTCTGTGTCTCTGACTACCTTCTCCACACCTGGGGAGTCCTGGCACCTGGTAAGGCCAGGGTCTGAATCAGGGGCTGAGTCCGGGAACGCAGGGCTGCGGGAGGCCCCTGGTTAGCGGCGTCCCGGCTGCCCGGCCCTCTCTCTGCTTCTGAAGGTGGCTTTCCGGGAGTGTTTCCTGGGCTGTGGTGGGAAACAAACCTTCTTTCCCATTCAGTCGTCCCAGACCGCACTGTCCCCGGGGCAGCACAGGGCAAGGGAGCGGATGGGGTGAGGCCTCCCCGCGGGTCCCAAGTGCCCCCCACAGGCTTTGGGTTTCCTCTTTCTTAGTCTCAGCAGGAAACGCAGCATCTCCTCACCAATAAAAAGTCCCTCAGAGGAGTTCCAGCCCTTGTCCAGGGTGGAGGGACAGGCTCCCAGACATGGAGTCTCCCGAGATCACAGGCAGCGGCGGCGGGGGGCGGGGGGGCGGGCACCACTCTCAAGTCCGAGCGCTCCACCACTCTCAAGTCCGAGCGCTCCCGCATCGCTGCAAGTTCTCCATGCCCCTCCTGCCAGCCAGAGTGTGATAGTCTGGATTGAGGGGTGGGCAACTTCCTGATGCTGAATGCCCAGCACGGAGGACCCCTGACAGGCTGCCCAGGCCGTGAGTGACCAGCTTGGACCGCCCCTTGAAGGGCCTTCCTGGGCCCTGGGTGACCAGCACGGACGTCCCCAAGTGGGCTGCTCTGGGCCCCCGGTGACCAGCCGGATGTCCTCTGACGGGCTCCCCTGGACACTGGGCCTGCACAGAGCAGTGAAGACCACTGGTCTCCCTTCAGCTGCAGACACACACTTTCCACTGGCAACTTTTCAAGGCCTTTTTTTGTTTCCTCTGCACAGGAACCATCGTGCAGGGGACCTGAGTCATACGCTGATTACATCAAAGACTGTTTGTCTTGGTTTGCAGCCCGCTGGGTTAGAACCAAGATAAATCACAAGTTGGCTAAAGGAGCCCACAAACACGCAGGTTTGGGTCCCTTTTGCTGGGGAACGTGTGGTGAGTTCAAGCCGGTGCTCCACCCCACCCTGCCCTTATTCAGCAGATTGCTGAAGGAAAAAACAAACTGTGGGGTGCTGGGCACTGGCCTCCAAGTGTTCTCACGGTGGGTGTCCCCATGCCGGGGGGTTCAGCATGGCCGCAGTGATGGCCGTGCGGCCTGTCCACAGCTCTGCGGTCCACCCCTCCTGGCCCGCGGGAGGGTCTCAGACGCGGGGACTCTGCTCTTAGAGGCTTGGGGAGGGGTCAGGGGTGCCTACTGGGGTCATGTGTGCCCACTGGGGAGGGGTCGGGGTGCCCACTGGGGTCATGTGTGCCCACTGGGGAGGGGTCAGGCCTGCCCACTGGGGAGGGCTCAGGTGTGCCCATTTCAGGCCCACTGGCTGGGCCCTCAGTCACCTGTGATCCATACCCAACAGCACCTGGACAGTGTGTGAACCTCAGGCCATCAGAACTCCTCTCCTATGTGATTTAAGAAGCATTTTCAGAAGCGCACGCACCCCTATGTCCCTAGTAACTCTTGGGGATACAGTCACCACCTGCTGGAAGCGCAGACCCAACAGAGAGAAGTGAGGCATTGAGCACCTCCACAGGGACAGGACCTGGGGTCACACGTTCCTCCCCGCTCTTCCCAGCTCCTCCCACACCCATAGCCCTGTGTCCCGGCTTCTCATTGACTTGTGCCCTCCACCTGGCCAGTTGTTACGCAGCAGTAAGTCACGGGGGTCCCTCAGACCAGGCACTGCCCAGATGTCCTTGCCGGCAGGGCCTGTGTTCTCCTGGGGATTCCGACCTTGGGACAAACCAGAGACATGTATAGCCTGAGGGGGCAAGAGCTGGGGGCACGGAAGAGCTGGAGCAGCAACAGGAACGTGAGGCCTAGACTCCGATGGGATGCGTGATGTTGATGCCCATCTGAGCTCCCGGCATCCAGAGTTCAGTGCGGGGGCAGCTGGGGTGATCCTGTGGGCTCAGGCACATGGGAGCTGGGACTGTGCAGCCTGCTGGGCAGCAAGAGGTCGACCTGCATGTAAGGCCCACAGCCACCTGGAGCCCAGAGGTGACCCTGCCGGTGCACGCAGTCCCTGAAAGGGATGCTCCAAGTATGTGAAGACTGGAGCTGCTAGGAACAGCTCTAACAGGACGCTGGGAGGCGGAGGGTCCATCAAGTCCAGAGAAGCCCCCGCATCCCCAGCAGCACAGTGACCCCACGCACCTCCGCCCCAGCAGTGCCGCCACCTCCCTTTCCAAACACATCAGAGGGCGGCTCTCTTGCTCCAGGCCAGGGAGTAACACTCATCCCCGAAGGAAGTTTCCAGGTCTAGTGCTCCTCCCTCCACCAAGGTCTCCGCTCTCTGCCTCAGCCCCATGGTCCTGAAGAAGCTCCCTCCCTCTCTGGAGACTCTGACAGCTGGGAAGTCCTCGTGGTTTCTGTCTGCCAATCCTGGTGATGATACAAAACAAACCGAATTCCTCTCACACACAGGAGCCCTCAAACGGGAGAATCACTACTGCTGAATATCACAGATAAGCAAGCATCCACTGAGTTCTTGATTTGTGCAGATGCTGGAGGGTCCAGAATGAGTAGGACACCACCCCTGCAGGTCCCGAACTCCTCGAGAGGAGCCCATGGGCTTCAGGTGTGCTGAGATATGTAAGTAGATAACTAGTTTTTAGATGATAGAGAGATAGATAGTTGCATACATAGAAGGTGGATGGATGTACACAAGCAGATGACAGATGATGGATGGATAAATGGATAGACAAATAGAAAATTATGATTGATAGATGGTAGACAGATATAGATAGATGACTGCTAGATGATGGGTAGATAGATGGATAATAGATAAAATTTTTGTTTCAAAATAGTCCTGAAGGGGTTGGGGAAGTTCACTGTCAGGCTTATAAGAAGCCTGTTTGTTCAGCTGGCAGCAGTGTTGGTGGAGGTTCTCCTGGCTCCCTCTAGGCGCCAGGCCTGGGGAGCAGGCTCCTTGGATGGGTCCCAGGCATCTCTCCTCCCCCTACATCCCCCCTCCTCATCATCTCCCCTCCGCCATTATCCTCCTCCCCCGCCATTTCCCCTCCTCTATCACCCCTCCCCCACCATCCCCTCCCCCATCATCCCCTTCCCCATCATCTCTCCTCCCCATCATCTCCCCTCCCCCATCATCCCCTCCCCCATCATTCCCCTCCCCAACCATCTCCCCTCCTTCATCACCCCCTCTCACATCACCCCGATCCCCATGATCCCCTTTCCTCCAAGGTGAGTGTAGTGTCCATGTCCAGGTCACAGGTGCACACCTATTTCCCCAGTCTCCACCAACCCAGCACAAGGAGGCTCTGGCCTATGATCAGGCTTGTTTGATGTTGGGGTGAGATAAAGAGAGGCAGAGGGACCCTCTGCTCTGAGCATCCATTTCCTCCTCCAGAGGATCTTCCTGACCCAGGTTTCAAACCCATGTCTCCTGTGTCTCCTGCATTGGCAGGCATATTCTTTACCACTGTACCACCTGGGAAGTCCCATGCTCTGAGCATCCACTGTACACCCATTTCCTGACCCTGCCCTCACCTCTGAGTCTTGGTCTTCATGCCAGGCCACAGCAGACATCACTGCCCCCTTCATGTGGTCCTAAGATATCAGTGATAATAAGGCAACATGTGAAGTGCAGCTAGCAGCCTCTGGAGATGCCAGGAGGTCAGCTGGCCTGGAGAAGAAAGGCCCTGGGTCCTTGCACCTGCCAGGGACACAGAGACCAGCCAGGAGTAGCAGCTGCCCTATCTCAGCAACAAGTGGCACTGAGGGGACAAAAAACACTTCCAAGAAGGCCAGAAGGCCAGGGGACAGGCCAGCAGGCCAGGGGACAGACGAGCAGTTCAGGGGATGGGCCAGCAGGACAGGAGATGGACCAGCAGGCCAGGGGACAGGCCAGCAGGCCAGGGGACGGGCCAGCAGGAGAGGGGACAGGCCAGCGGGACGTCGGAATCCTGACAGTGAGGTCAAGAGGGACTAGCAGAGGGCAGGACCTCCCTGCTTCCTCCAGTCCCTCTGTCCACCCCCCATCCCCCTGGAAAGGCCATGATTGGCAGGCCCAGCTGGGGTGGCCGCTGTGGGTCTGGCCCTCCAGGCTATCCTGACAGATGTTTTAATCTACTGTTTGAAGAACGACTTCTGCGCAGCTCTGCGGCACAAACATCTGTTTCTGTTTAGAATGACGGAGGGTTTCAAACAGCGCTGGCTGTGCGGCGGGGACTGTTTACGGGTGACCTCGCCTCTCGCTTTGCATCACACCCAGGGGAGGATGTCCTGCTGGCGGCTGGACATTCTCTGAAGCTCCGTGAAATGGATCCTTCATTTCAAAAAGGCGCCAACAGTTCAGCTTCCTAAACACATCTTTTTTGAAAGGCATCCAGGGAGCATGAAGCTTTCAGAACTGTTCATGCCTAACCCTCCCAGCCCTGGTGAAGGAGCCACTCTGGATTTACCCTGTGGCCCTTACCGCTCGCCACCCTGACCCGAGCTCACTGGTCACACCCAGAGCTCAGAGGGGCCAGCGCACAAAGACCTCACAGCACCGTGGCCTAAGAGGCTGGGGGTGTGGGGGAGGGGCCAGGAGGGGAGGGGAGGGGCCAGGAAGTGAGGGGCGGGGCGGGAGGGGCAGGGCCATGAGGGGAAGGGCGGGGCCAGGAGGGGAGGGGAGGGACCAGGAAGGGAGGGGCGGGGCGGGAGGGGCGGGGCCATGAGGGGAAGGGCGGGGCCAGGAGGGGAGGGGAGGGACCAGGAAGGGGGGCGGGGCGGGAGGGGCGGGGCCATGAGGGGAAGGGCGGGGCCAGGAGGGGAGGGGAGGGACCAGGAAGGGAGGGGCGGGGCGGGAGGGGCAGGGCCATGAGGGGTAGGGCGGGGCCAGGAGGGGAGGGGAGGGACCAGGAAGGGAGGGGCGGGGCGGGAGGGGCAGGGCCATGAGGGGAAGGGCGGGGCCAGGAGGGGAGGGGAGGGACCAGGAAGGGAGGGGCGGGGCGGGAGGGGCGGGGCCATGAGGGGAAGGGCGGGGCCAGGAGGGGAGGGGAGGGACCAGGAAGGGGGCGGGGCGGGAGGGGCGGGGCCATGAGGGGAAGGGCGGGGCCAGGAGGGGAGGGGAGGGACCAGGAAGGGAGGGGCGGGGCGGGAGGGGCAGGGCCATGAGGGGTAGGGCGGGGCCAGGAGGGGAGGGGAGGGACCAGGAAGGGAGGGGCGGGGGGGCGGGGGCCATGAAGGGAGGGGAGGCACCAGGAAGGGGGAGGGGAGGGGAGGGGCCAGGAGGGGCCAGGAACGGAGAGGGCGGGGCGGGAGGGCGGGGCCAGGAGGGGAGGGGAGCGACCAGGAAGTGAGGGGCGGGGCGGGAGGGGCAGGGCCATGAGGGGAAGGGCGGGGCCAGGAGGGGAGGGGAGGGACCAGGAAGGGAGGGGCGGGGGGGCGGGGGCCATGAAGGGAGGGGAGGCACCAGGAAGGGGGAGGGGAGGGGAGGGGCCAGGAGGGGCCAGGAAGGGAGGGGCGGCAGGGGCGGCAGGGGCGGCAGGGGCGGCAGGGGCGGCAGGGGCGGCAGGGGCGGCAGGGGCGGCAGGGGCGGCAGGGGCGGCAGGGGCGGCAGGGGCGGCAGGGGCGGCAGGGGCGGCGGCCATGAAGGGAGGGGAGGGACCAGAGCGGGAGACCAGGCCGGTCTCCTTTCAGGGGTCTCACTCCTGCTTGCGGGGCTCAGAAGGTCGCCTTCTTAGGCTGGTTCTTATGTGTCTCACATCCTGGGATTCAGCCCACGTGAGACGTGAGCCAGATGCTGAAATAATTGGTAACGGCTTTCCACATGACTGAATATGGAGACACCAAGAGGTGTTTGCAGGTAATTCCTGAGAGCACCATCAGTAGGATCTTTTTCCTGCATCTGTAAACTGGCCATTTAATCACAGGGGAAAGACAGGAAGAGAAGGTGTTTGCTGAACGCCTGCCAGGTGCTCTGAGCTTCCTTTCTCTGTAAAGAAGCCGACCCTCGATTTAGTGTCGGTCCAGCGCTGCACACACCTGTCCGAGGAGCATCCCCCAGATGCCCTGGGCTGGGACCACCCTCCCGCAGAAGGGCACCTGAGGCCCGGAACAGGGGCCCGCGGGCCCCAGGTGGGCAGAGGTACCTGGTGCATTCCTTCCCTCCCTCCAGCCTCGGGGCCCAGGTGCGAAACTCCAGACTAGGTGCACACGGTGGGGCAGCAGGGTTCCAACCAGCAGAGCACGTTCTAGTTCTAGTAAAACAGCAAAGCTCAGGATACGTAACAGAAATTTGTATATTCGGGCAAGGTCACTTGGGGAATTCCCAGTTCCAAGAAGAAGCGCTTATTCATTTTAAATTAGTAGATAATGGATCTTAATCTTTTCAGCATTTTTCCACGGACACAAAGGCTGAAGAAGCAGACGCCATTTTTCTGTTCTGGGCGGACAGGCCGAGCTATGGGGCAGGGCCAGGGCCCTCGGGGTGCCCAGCCAGTGTGACCGTGCACCTGCCAGGACACCCCATCCTTCCTGCCCTTCAGCTCTGCCCACCTGGCCTGCCTGGGTGACTGGAACAGCAACGTGGCACCCACCTGGATGACACCGCCCTGAGCTCCTCACACCTGCAAACATGTGGGCCCATCCTGCAGCAACTCGTCTAGTCTGGTGGGGAGATGTCCTGGAGATGACAGAGCCAGTTGATCCCCAAAGACGCAGATGATGCTCTGTGCCTGGGAGGACCATGTCAGGGAAGGGTCCTGGGGGGCCAGGGCTGAACCCCAGAGATGATCTCCCATTGGGAAAGTGGCTGGAGTTTGCAGGGCCTTCCTGCTTGACAAGCACTGAAGGTCCAGGGACCCATGGGTCTCCCCACAACCTGGGGCTTGCCCCCGAGGCGGCTTGTGGGGCGGCCAAACTGTAAGCCATCAACATCTCCCCCAGGGCCCCTGGGAGGCTGTTTGGGTCCAGCTCTATTGTTCAAAGATGTTCAGTAACAAGGACTCCAACTCACTCAGTTCACGTGAGCAGAAAACGAAGCTCTTAGCAACAGAGGGACAGTCAGTGTCGGTGTGGAGTGGGACACACCAAACTCAGACTGGTTCTGGACATGATGCGGTGAAGCAGGTACTGATTCTCTACTCTGGCCACTAGATGGACAATTTTAAATGACCAGCCATGAAGTTTTATTTTTACAGAATATTTAGTAAGATCTAATTAAATTTTTTGAAAATTAAAGGTGTATGCTATGTGTGCTTAGTCATACATACAAATAATTGACTATTAAATATTAAAGTATTAGTCGCTAAGTCCTGTCCAAATCTTTGTGACCCCGTGGACTGTAGCTCACCAAGCTCTTCTATCCATGGGGTTTCCCAGGCAAGAACACTGGAGTGGGTTTCCATTTCCTTCTCCAGGGTATCTTCCAGACTCGGGGATCAAACTCAGGTCTCCTGCGTTGCAGGCAGATTCTTTACCAGATTCTTGGTTCCTTGAGGCACCAAGGAAGCCCTAAATATTACCTAATATTAATTTATAATTAAATTGATGTTATTTATCAAAAAGATATGACACTGAAAGATGAACTCCCCAGGTCAGTAGGTGCCCAGTAAGGTACTGGAGAAGAGTTGAGAAATAGCTCCAGAAGGAATAAAAAGGCTGAGCCAAAGTGGAAGCAACGCCCAGTCATGGATGTGACTGGTGATGGAAGTAAAGTCCAATGCTGAAAAGAACAATGTTGTATAGGAACCTGAAATGTAGGCTCATGAATCAAGCTAAATTCGAAGTGGTCATACAGGAGATGGCAAGAGTGAACATTTACATTTTAGGAACTAAAATGGACCAGAATGGGTGAATTTAATTCAGATGATGCTTATATCTACTACTGTGGGCAAGAACCCCTTAGAAGAAATGGAGTAGCTTTCATAGTCAACAAGAGTCCAAAATGCAGTACTTGGGTGCAATCTCAAAAATGACAGAATGATCTCTGTTTCCAAGGCAAACCATTCAATATCACAGTAATCCAAGTCTGTGTCCTAGCCACTAATGCTGAAGAAGCTGAAGTTGACCTTCCAGGCTAACTAAGACCTTCCAGACTAACACCAAAAATGATGTCCTTTTCATCATAGGGGACTGGAATGCAAATGTAGGAAGTCAAGAGATATCTGGAGTAACAGGCAAATTTGGCCTTGGGGTACAAAATGAAGCAGAGCAAAGGCTAACAGAGTTTTACCAAGAGAACCCACTGGTCATAGCAAACACCCTCTTTCAACAACAATTCAGAGAAGACTCTACACATGGACATCACCATATAGTCAACACCAAAATCAGACTGATATATAGTCTTTTCAGTCAAAGATGGAGATACTCTGTACAGTTGGCAAAAACAAGACTGGGAGCTGATCATGAGCACTGTGGCTCAGATCATGAGCACCTTATTGCTAAATTCAGACTTAAATTGAAGAAAGTAGGAAAAACCACTAGACCATTCAGGTATGACCTAAATCAAATCCCTTACAATTATACAGTGGGAGTGACAAATAGATTCAAGGAATTAGATCTGATAGACAGAGTGCCTGAAGAACTATGGATGGAGGTTCATGACATTGTACAGGAGGTGGTGATCAAGACCATCCCCAAGAAAAATAAATGCAAAAAGGCAAAATGATTGTCTGAGGAGGCCTTACTCATAGCTGAGAAAAGACGAGAAGCAAAAGGCAAAAGAGAAAAGGAAAGATCTATTCAGCTGAATTCAGAGTTCCAAAGAATAGCAAGGACAGATAAGAAAGCCTTCCTCAGTGATCTATGTAAAAAGACAAAGGAAAACAGTAGAATGAGAAAGACTAGAGATCTCTTCATGAAAATTAGAGATACCAAGGAAGCATTTTATGCAAAGATGGGCACAATGAAGGACAGAAGCAACATGGACCTGACAGAAACAGAAGATATTAAGAAGAGGTGACAAGAATATACAGAAGAACTATATTAAAAAAGGTCATAATGACCCAGATAATCACAATGCTGTGATCACTCACCTAGAGCCAGACATCCTGGAATGGGAAGTCAAGAGGGCCTTAGGAAGTATCACTACAAACAAAGCTAGTGGGGGTGATGGAATTCCAGCTGAGCTATTTCAAATCCTAAAAGATGATGCTGTGAAAGTGCTCCACTCAATATGCAACCATATTTGGAAAACTCAGCAGTGGCCACAGGACTGGAAAAAGTCAGTTTTCATTCCAATCACAAAGAAAGGCAATGCCAAAGAATGTTCAAACTACCACACAATTGCACTCATCTCACACGCTAGCAAAGTAATGCTCAAAATTCTCCAAGCTAGGCTTCCACAGTACATGAACCGAGAACTTCCAGGTGTTCAAGTTGGAGAAAAGGCAGAGGAACCAGAGATCAAACTGCCAACATCTGTTGGATCATCGAAAAGCAAGAGAGTTCCAGAAAAACATCTATTTCTGCTTTATTGACTATGCCAAAGCCTTTGACTGTGTGGATCACCACAAACTGTGGAAAATTCTTAAAGATATGGGAATACCAGACCACCTGACCTGCCTCTTGAGAAACTTTTATGCAGGTCAGCAAGCAATAGAACTGGATGAGGAACAACGGACTGGTTCCAAATTGGGAAAGAAGTGTGTCATTGGAAGGACCGATGCTGAAGCTGAAGCGCCAATACTTTGGCCACCTAAGGTGAAGAGGTGGTTCATTGGAAAAGACCCTGATTCTGGGAAAGATTAAAGGCAGGAGGAGAAGGAGACAACAGAGGATGAGATGGTTGGATGGCATCACTGACTCAATGGACATGGGTTTGAGCAAGCTCCAGGAGATGGTGAAGGACAGGGAAGCCTGGTGTGCTGCAGTTCATGGGGTTGTAAAGAGTCAGACACAACTTAGTGCCTGAACAACCACAAAATTATTAATATGATTAATTTTCATTTCTTCTCTTTGTTACTGTGTCATTTTGATTATTTAGAATAAATATTTTGAATCAAAATAATTTTTAAAATATTTTGGATCTTTATATTTAATTTTTTGTTTATGTATTCAAATTTGAACATTTTAAATACTATTACATTTTTAATTCTAATGTAGATCATTAATGTCAATAGAACATAAACAACATGAAAATCTTGATTTTTTTAGCAGCATAGCTTTTGTAAGTTACACGTTTATGAATTTTGTATGTCTTTAGTTTCTATCACCAAACGGTACTAGTCCATGGACGGAACACTGGAAATGCACAGCAGTCACAGAACTCAGCTGTCTGTCCTAGCTTGCCTGTCCTCGTGGAGCGGACCGAGTAGGCCACTCTCTCTGTGCGTCTCTGGTTCTCCGTACAGGACTGCTTGTTGACCCAGTTTATGAGTCTCCAGTCCCGACTCGTGCCCCTCAGCCTGCACTCTGCTCTGGGCCCACATGCGGAACACTGGAAAAAGTCAGCTAGAAACTTTGCTTCCTGGTATTTTTCAACAGCTTAAGAGTCCAAGGGCCTCTCCTTCTCCCCCAGAGGAGCCTGGGTCCCGGGTCCTCGTCTGGGGAAGGGACTTGGTGGACGGGACACTCTTTCTAAAGCTGGAAGGCTCACAGCACAGCCCTCCGCTCCTGTCAATTTTTGTGGAAATCAGGAGACTGGGGGGCTAGGGCCCAGCATAGGTGCGGCTCCTCCAGAACCAGGAGAGCGGAAATGAGCCGGTGACAGGCAGCCCACCACGCCCCAGCGCTCCGCTGTCACGCGCCCGTGTCCACGCCAGCAGCGTGTACTCAGGGCAAGGCTTGTTTGTGATTCCTCCGTTCAGTTAGAAACGCCTCATTCTGATGGAGTCTGTAGCTGGAAGCACAGAGGCACATGCACCTGAAACCTGAGTCTAATGCTTTGAAAAGACCCACAGAGAAAAGTCCCGAACACTTCCCGGTCGTGCCGGCGTGGGTGAGACGGCCGTGGGCACGTGGGGGAGGGCACAGTCACAGAGCCCCGGTGTCAGGGGTCCCGTGCCAGCTGGGGGCTGGGGGACATGTGCGCCTGAGGGGGCGGCCGCTGAGCCCCCACGGTCAGTGCAGCGATGGCCAGGAGCGGGCGCCCGCTCCGGGGGCTCCTTTGAGGCTGCGGGGAAACAGTGACCGAAGCCGCGGCCGCCGCGTCACAGCCCGGGCTCACGGGCCTCCCGGCCGGCGGGGCCAGACCCATCCTCCCATGAGTCACGTGTCCAGTGGGGCCCCAAGGCGTCCAGCCCGGGCTCTGTGTCCGCGCCCCGGCTCTCTCGCCGGCGCCCCCCGCCATCGGCCAGTTTCCCAGGCCTCCTGCACCCCGCCTCCCCGGCCCAACGTGGAGACGCACAGCGTGTCTGCCAGAGGCCGAGAGCCGGAGGCGCCGTGGTGTAGCAGAGACGAGGCCCCTTGGGTTGAGGCCTAGACGTTGTGTTCTGTTTTTCTCTAGGCTTACTGGGGGTTATTCTTGACTCCCAGAGATAAAGGGCGTGGAAATGAAACACGGACTTGAGAACGTCCCGATGTTTTCGTGGGAAGAGGCTGGGCTCTGTTCACTTCCTTGCATTCTTGCAGGAATTCGGAAGGGGAAGGCTGAGAAGACGCAGAGCCCGCAGTGGGAGCGGAGAGGCTGAGATGAGTCCGACCCTTCCACTCCTCTCCCGTGAGAGTCTGGAGAGTGATGGGGACATGGGGAGCTGGCCACGGGGTGGGCCCAGGGGGGCCTCAAGCCCCACGGTGAGCGGCCTGTTGACGTCAAGGGCGCACACGAGGCTGAGCCGCACGGGGAGGCCCTGCAGCCTGAGGCTTGCGCGTCTGTGGCCCCGGGGGGAGCAGAGCAGTGAGTCTGGCTGGACTTACGGCCGAACGCAAGGCGCGCTGTGTAGACTGCCTTCATCCCTCAGGCCTGGCCCTCAGAGTCCCGGCTGTGATCAACAACGTGTCACATGTAACCAAGACAAACGCTCATAATGGCCCCATGTTTATGAAGTCAATATATGAATGGTAGGGAACTCCTGGGTGTTGTTTGTGTGCCGTGTAAATATTTTAAGATTGCACCAGTAACAGGGATCTCTGTGTATATTACACAGAGTTCTCTTTTATCCGGTTTGGAGAAGTGGTTCGAAGGAGCGGATGCAAATTGTCCAAACAAACATTTGTTCCCTCTTCCAGCCCGGTGGGCGGACTGCCCTCCCCTCCCCACAACCTCCCAGGGGCCAGGCTGGTGCTGCATCTGTTCAGAGGCGGGGACGCGCTGGGCTGGCGTGGGGGGTGTGTGTGGTGGTGTGGTGTGTGTGTGGTGTGTATGTGGTGGTGTGGTTCATGGAGCTCTCTGCTATGAATGGAACATCTGTGAATGGAATCTCAGTTAACAACGGAAAACTAAAATTCTTTTGACAGGGCCTCCCTGGTGTCCAGTGGTTAAGAGTCCACCCCCAATGCAGGAGACAAGGGTTTGTCCCCTAGTCAGGAAACTAGGGCCCCACAAGCCGGGGGCCACTGAGCCCACGCACAGCAATGAGAGGCGAACCCACGCGCCACAACTAAAACCTGATACGGCCAAAAGTGCAGAAACCCCTTTTTAAAATAAAATAAAACCCGCTAGAGTCCAGCCCCCAGTGACACAGGCTGGTGAAGCCATGCGTGTGACCTTACCCGCTGAGGGGGACCGTGAGGCTGGCGTCCAGCTTCCCCACCGCGAGGAAGGGCAGCCCCACCTAGCGCTTCCTCCTCCAGGGCGGCAGGCCAGCGAGCCTGGCTGAGTGTCAGGCTCCTGAGTGGGACTGGAAGACAGGGCCGAGGAGGTGGGCCAAGTCCAGGAGGAAGAGCCCCCAAAGGCTCTGTGGACCCCCTCCAGGGTCCTGATCTGAGCGCCGTGGGCAGCGGGGCCCAGCAGCCATGAAGCGGCCGTTCCTGCTCAGGACGGGGGCCGGGGGCCCTTCCTGCTCAGGACAGGGGGCCGGGGGCCGTTCCTGCTCAGGACAGGGGGCCGGGGGCCCTTCCTGCTCAGGACAGGGGACCGGGGGCCCTTCCTGCTCAGGACGGGGGCCGGGGGCCGTTCCTGCTCAGGACGGGGGCCGGGGGCCGTTCCTGCTCAGGAGAGGGGGCCGGGGGCCGTTCCTGCTCAGGACGGGGGCCGGGGGCCGTTCCTGCTCAGGACGGGGGCCGGGGGCCGTTCCTGCTCAGGACAGGGGGCCGGGGGCCCTTCCTGCTCAGGACGGGGGCCGGGGGCCGTTCCTGCTCAGGACAGGGGGCCGGGGGCCGTTCCTGCTCAGGACAGGGGGCCGGGGGCCGTTCCTGCTCAGGACAGGGGGCCGGGGGCCCTTCCTGCTCAGGACAGGGGACCGGGGGCCCTTCCTGCTCAGGACGGGGGCCGGGGGCCGTTCCTGCTCAGGACAGGGGGCCGGGGGCCGTTCCTGCTCAGGAGAGGGGGCCGGGGACCGTTCCTGCTCAGGACGGGGGCCGGGGGCCGTTCCTGCTCAGGAGAGGGGGCCGGGGGCCGTTCCTGCTCAGGACGGGGGCCGGGGGCCGTTCCTGCTCAGGACGGGGGCCGGGGGCCCTTCCTGCTCAGGACGGGGGCCGGGGGCCCTTCCTGCTCAGGAGAGGGGGCCGGGGGCCGTTCCTGCTCAGGAGAGGGGGCCGGGGGCCGTTCCTGCTCAGGACGGGGGCCGGGGGCCCTTCCTGCTCAGGACGGGGGCCGGGGGCCGTTCCTGCTCAGGACAGGGGGCCGGGGGCCCTTCCTGCTCAGGACGGGGGCCGGGGGCCGTTCCTGCTCAGGACAGGGGGCCGGGGGCCCTTCCTGCTCAGGACGGGGGCCGGGGGCCGTTCCTGCTCAGGACGGGGGCCGGGGGCCGTTCCTGCTCAGGACGGGGGCCGGGGGCCGTTCCTGCTCAGGAGAGGGGGCCGGGGGCCCTTCCTGCTCAGGACGGGGGCCGGGGGCCGTTCCTGCTCAGGACAGGGGGCCGGGGGCCCTTCCTGCTCAGGACGGGGGCCGGGGGCCGTTCCTGCTCAGGACAGGGGGCCGGGGGCCCTTCCTGCTCAGGACGGGGGCCGGGGGCCGTTCCTGCTCAGGACGGGGGCCGGGGGCCGTTCCTGCTCAGGAGAGGGGGCCGGGGGCCCTTCCTGCTCAGGACGGGGGCCGGGGGCCGTTCCTGCTCAGGACAGGGGGCCGGGGGCCGTTCCTGCTCAGGACGGGGGCCGGGGGCCCTTCCTGCTCAGGACGGGGGCCGGGGGCCGTTCCTGCTCAGGACAGGGGGCCGGGGGCCGTTCCTGCTCAGGACGGGGGCCGGGGGCCCTTCCTGCTCAGGACGGGGGCCGGGGGCCGTTCCTGCTCAGGAGAGGGGGCCGGGGGCCGTTCCTGCTCAGGAGAGGGGGCCGGGGGCCCTTCCTGCTCAGGACGGGGGCCGGGGGCCGTTCCTGCTCAGGACAGGGGGCCGGGGGCCGTTCCTGCTCAGGACAGGGGGCCGGGGGCCGTTCCTGCTCAGGACGGGGGCCGGGGGCCGTTCCTGCTCAGGACAGGGGGCCGGGGGCCCTTCCTGCTCAGGACGGGGGCCGGGGGCCGTTCCTGCTCAGGACAGGGGGCCGGGGGCCCTTCCTGCTCAGGACGGGGGCCGGGGGCCGTTCCTGCTCAGGACGGGGGCCGGGGGCCGTTCCTGCTCAGGACGGGGGCCGGGGGCCGTTCCTGCTCAGGACGGGGGCCGGGGGCCCTTCCTGCTCAGGACGGGGGCCGGGGGCCGTTCCTGCTCAGGACAGGGGGCCGGGGGCCGTTCCTGCTCAGGACGGGGGCCGGGGGCCCTTCCTGCTCAGGACGGGGGCCGGGGGCCGTTCCTGCTCAGGACAGGGGGCCGGGGGCCGTTCCTGCTCAGGACGGGGGCCGGGGGCCCTTCCTGCTCAGGACGGGGGCCGGGGGCCGTTCCTGCTCAGGAGAGGGGGCCGGGGGCCGTTCCTGCTCAGGAGAGGGGGCCGGGGGCCGTTCCTGCTCAGGAGAGGGGGCCGGGGGCCCTTCCTGCTCAGGACGGGGGCCGGGGGCCGTTCCTGCTCAGGACAGGGGGCCGGGGGCCGTTCCTGCTCAGGACAGGGGGCCGGGGGCCGTTCCTGCTCAGGACGGGGGCCGGGGGCCGTTCCTGCTCAGGACGGGGGCCGGGGGCCGTTCCTGCTCAGGACAGGGGGCCGGGGGCCCTTCCTGCTCAGGAGAGGGGGCCGGGGGCCCTTCCTGCTCAGGACGGGGGCCGGGGGCCGTTCCTGCTCAGGACAGGGGGCCGGGGGCCGTTCCTGCTCAGGACGGGGGCCGGGGGCCCTTCCTGCTCAGGACGGGGGCCGGGGGCCGTTCCTGCTCAGGACGGGGGCCGGGGGCCGTTCCTGCTCAGGACAGGGGGCCGGGGGCCGTTCCTGCTCAGGACGGGGGCCGGGGGCCCTTCCTGCTCAGGACAGGGGGCTGGGGGCCATTCCTGCTCAGGACAGGGGGCTGGGGGCCATTCCTGCTCAGGACAGGGGCTGGGGGCTGGGGGACGAAGTCTGGAGGAGTGGGGTCTGGCCCGCAGGGAGCAGAGGTGTGAGGAGGACCTGGGGAGGAAAAGAGTGGCCAGGAGCCACTGCTCTGCCCCGCAGCAGCGCTGGGTGGACCAGCCCTAGGAGTCCCTGGGAAAGTGCGGAGGGCGGAGATGGGCAGCCCCGGCTCGTGAACACAGCCCCGTGCTGGGCTCTGCGGTCGTGGACGGCGCCTTGGCCCAGCAAGCGTCCACCTGGGAGGCCTCGGGGCCTTGCTGCCCCAAGAGGGCTCGGGGAGGGCCGTCTCCACCCCACGTGGCCCAAGGAGCCTCAGAGGCGGCCAGCCTTCATCCTGTCAGAGCAGACATGACTTGGGGCACAACCAAGAGCTGCCTGGGACCAGGCAAACGACCGAGCGTCAGCGTCCACACAGGCGGCATCTGGAGCCCTGGGCCCCCCAACCTGCAGATCAGAAAGAGCCCCTGTGCCGAGCCCCCTCCCCGGGTGAACGCGAGCCCCCCTCACATGCGCTGGGCCCCTAAAGTCCAGGCGTGCTTCTCCAGCCTCGTCTTAGATGCCCGTTCCTGCCCCAGCGCGTCGATGGCATGGAAATGGGCTGAAGAGCAGGGTCCTCTGAGGCAGCTGAACCCAGACAGCAAATGCTGGGTCCTCTCCCCACAGAAGTTTCCCTGGAGGCCAGAGGTAAAGAATCAGCCTGCAATGCAGGAGACCCGGGCTTGATCCCTGTCTGGGACAACGCCCTGGAGAAGGGAGAGGCTATCTGCTCCAGGAGTTTTGTCTGGAGAA